GTAATTACTGATGTGAGTTCAAAGAGAATCTGCCAGTCTTATTTGGCAGATCAGAAAAAAACCCACAGCATCCAGGAAACTACACAATAAAAGCACTCGATGTTCACGGACACACACATACATACAAATACAGACAGACAGACAGTGCAATAAGTTGGGAACAGAGAGTCCAATCTGGCCAGTGGCAAAGACATGTACACAATGAATACAGACTCTTAAAAATAAATAATTCCTACTCTCTTCTACTACTCCTTAGAGCTGGGTGAACCTTGACAGTGTAGTCCTAAAGATTAGAAGACAGGAATTTCTCACTCTGCTACTCGGGTTAAAAACAAGTTGTTGTTTTTTTTTATGTGTAAATCACTCGCTTTAGCCTTTTTTTCTACCAAGACACATAGTAGGGGTGTGTAGCGAATGTGGAAAAAAATAGTAAAAGACTATTTTATATAGCAAATATATCTTGTATAATTCATTGCATATATGCTTAAATCAGAACTACATCAATAAACTCATAAGTGTTATATATATATATATATATATATATATAAACAGCATTTATTCAAAATGGAAATCTTGTGTTACAATATACACTACCGTTCAAAAGTTTGGGGTCAGTAATTTCTTTTTTCTTTTTTTGAAAGTAATGAGTACTTTTATTCATCAAGGATGTCTTAAATGGATAAAAAGTGATAGTAAAGACTCATATTATTAGAAAAGATTTAAATTTTAAATAAATGCTGTTCTTTAAAAAAAAAAAACTGTTTCCAGCACTGATAATAAATCAGCATATTATAATGATTTCTGAAGGATCATGTGGCACTGAAGACTGGAGTAGTGATGCTGAAAATTCAACTTTGATCACAGAAATAAATTATATCTTAAAGTATATTAAAACAGAAAACAAATATTAGAAATTGAAATAATATCTCACAATATTACATTTTTTCTGTATTTTTGATCAAATAAATACAGCCTTTGATGAGTACAAGAGATTCCATTAAAAAACATTAAAAATCTTATTGATCCCAAACTTTTGAACGGCAGTGTATGTAAAAAAAAAAAAAAAATGAAGGAAAAAACTTTCTTTTTGAATAAAAAATTTAACACCAGCACCAGGACTTCTTAAAACCAGTCTGCGGCTGCCAATTTAATCTGCTGTTGTTTGCTACTATTGTAGGCCTCTGACTGCACTCCCATTTGTTGTTGCTGCTCATTTGCATAAACTCTGCACAACTTTGCTAACACCTACAGTACTATAGCATTCACCAGAAGCTGCAAACTTTTGCAACAGTCCCTGCAAGTAGCAGCATGCGTGAATGCTAATCTCCATTAATGTGAATTCTTAGAATTCTGCCTCATTTACATTTATTAATCAAGAGCTATAGGAAACAGATGCACTATGAGCATTAGTGAGTCTATTAAATCTGTCAAATATTGGGATTATTCTATGACAAAAGTTGTTTTTTCATCTCTTGGCCTGTTAAAAACTTCCAAGCTAGAACAGATTGTACATGAGAGACAAGCTTTTCTGGATGCATTTCATCTAATCACATAGCAGGAAGCTGACTTTGAAAAGATAAACAGATGTTTAAACAAATGAGGTATACATAACAAGGTCCAGAATCATACATCCATAAGAAGCAGAATCGTCTGCGCTCATGCTGAACCATAACACATGTGCACCTGTAATTAGGCTCCCTCACTCAGAATCTTTCATTAAACAAAAGAAAGGATGGCAAAGCACACAAACGGAGAAGAGGAGCGCTTTCTGTGAGTGAGAAGAACCATCAAGAGCAGAGGGTGTAGTTAGCTAATGCAGGCCTCTCCATTAGATAACAGGGGTCAACTACAACATGTCCCACTCTCCCTTTCACCTCTAAGACACCATGCGGCTAAAAGGATAACGGCGCCGCTGAATTCATCTACACTCAGATGCGGAGGAGAACAAAAAGCTGAGATGCTTGCCGACCGGTGTAACAGTATCACAGACAATTAAATGAGAGTCAGAAAAATGTCAGGCATGTTTACATTAACATATCTAAACAGGGGATGTTACCTAATGAGCATGAGTCTAGCAGCCACGTACTTTTTATGTACTAATTTTGAAATCAAAGCCCTGTATCATTAAATGTGAGATGATTTGCCCAATAAAAAAAAAATACAAAATGTGACAGATAACAATAGTCACTTACAAAACAGCTGCATCTCTGTAGTGTACGACATTCTAGCTCATAACCCTACAACTAACACACTAACCACCCGCAGTCCAACTTAACTAGCCTCTATTTATACTGCCATTGTCATTCTTCTCAGCACAGACATGCCTCAGTCAGTGCCATTTGCCTAGTCCAATTATTGTTGCGCTATTACCGCCTTGCTAAGCAGCCGGTAAACAGACTTTTATTGAAAAGAGGTGTTTGTGCATATTTTCTGTTGATCATGGCGGCAGTAATTCATCAAAATGATGATCAAATAATGGAGATAAAGATCATGATGAGACATAAATCCATGCACGGTGTAGTCGAGCACATTTTAATGATGCTATTTAGATCCTCCACAACCTGGTACTTAGAAGCAACCTGTAGGATGGAGAACCGTGCTACACAAATAGCACTGAGCACAAATTTTTTGGCTTTTCGCGCTATTATCTATCCTTTAGTGAATCTTGTGCCAAAACAACGCAGACAGTGCACGCAAATAAACAACATACCACCATAATCCCTACTTAGCGATTCCCCCCCTGTGTAAAGTATCACACATTGTCTGAGTTTAGTTCGTTGTCTGTTTGAAACAATTTAGCAGATCTATCCGTTATTGCTCCATTGTTAAATATAGTGAAACAGGTTGGCAAAAACCAAAGTTGCCAAATGCCAAAGTTAGATTAAGTGCTAGTTATCTGAACTCTGCGATTGTATGGAGCACAGTGAACCTGCTGATGCATGAATGGCAGCGTTCCAAAGGCCTTGTACCTGTCTTCCTTTCTTGCAGGATAACAGAAAATGGCCCTGCTCCAAGAGCTAATAGCACTAATTTGTGGAAACCACAGCATCATGGTATTATTAGATAATTCCACTGATCTTAAATCAAATATTAGAGGCTGAGATAATGCTGACCTCTGAATGCTATGAAAGTGTTGGATCCAGACAATTGCATAACGTTAGGCTGAGCGAGCATATAAAGTGGAGGACTGAGGCAAGACTTTATTCTAATGATTAAAAGAGGCACCTAATTTAGCCATACTTACCCTTTAAGCTCCTTCATAGGTTTAACCAAGTTATTTACATCATAATACGTATATTTTTTAAGAGCAAGTAAACAAATGCGGGCTATTCATGTCTTTTGTCTTATGCAAACATTATTTGACTCTCTGGAGGTAATGGCTCAGAGCAGAATGGTGTCCGACTTAATGAACGTCATGAACAATGTCTCCCACCCTCTCCAAGGCATGTTTGCTGAAATGAAGAGTGCATTCAGCAACAGCGTGATCCGTCAACGGTATAAGAGAGGGTGCCACTGAAGGTCATTCCTGCCTACTGCCATAAGACTCCATGATTCTTCCGCTGTGTGCATGAAACATTGACTTGTTTTGACTCCTCTGCCTACAACTGTTTGTCTCAACAACTGCTTTACATTTGCTCTGTTTAAAACATTTAGTACCCACCAGTTCATGTGTATGATGTATTTTTGTATATGTTGCAGTGCAGTCACTGTATGTACTGTACAGTATCTATCCACCTATCTATCCACCCACCCATCTAACCTATCTATATACCCAACTCATTGATATATATAACCTAATGTACATACCTATCTATGTAACCTATCTATCTACCCATTCACCGACCAACCGGCTGAGGTAACCCACAGTACATATCTATCTACTCACCCACCAATCTATCCTATCTACCCACTGACCCACCAATCTATTTGACCTATCTATCTACTCAGCCACCTCTCTAAACTATCTATCTACTTACCCACCAGTTTATCTAACCTATCTATCCATACACCAATTTATCTAACCTATCTAGATACCCACACACCTGATCTGTCTAGCCTATCTACCCACTCACCCATCTGACTAACCTACAGTAGATATTTATCTATGCAACCTATCTAACTACCCACCCAGCCATCGATCAATGTAACCTACAGTACATATCTATCTACCTACCCACCTATCTAACCACTCACCCGCCAGTTTATCTAATCTATCTATCTACCCACCCGCCTATCTATACTATTTATCTACTCACTCACCCACCAGTTTATCTTGCATATCTATCTACCCACCCACCTATCTATACTATCTACCCACCTCTCTAACCTATCTAGATACCCACCCACCTGATCTGTCTAACCTATCTACCCACTTGCCAAACTACATTAGATGTTGTTCCACCCTCCCATCGATCAATGAACCCTACAGTACATATCTATCTACCCACCCACCTATCTAACCACTCATCCACCAGTTTAGCTAACCTATCTATCTACCCACCCACCTATCTAACCTATCTAACCACTCACCTACCAGCTTTTCTAACCGATCTATCTACTCACCCACCTGTCAATAATATCTGTCTACTATCTATCTACTCACTCACCCTCTAGTTTATCTTACCTATCTATCTACGCATCCACCAATTTATCTAACTAGTCTAACCTATCTACCCACTCACTGATTTGTCTAACCTACAGTACATATCTTTCTACATACCACTAATCTGTCAACCAATCTACCTATCCACTGATTATTTAATTTAATGTAGATATCCACCCACCGATCTATTCATCTATCCCTCTGTCCATCCAGCCACCGAATTTGTCTTGTTCCCTTCTAACTATAATTTAACTTGAATTGAGGAGGCACATACTGTATTAGATTATTGGCATTTTTTGTTATTACTTCTCATATGAGCCTTACATTTAAAAGGGATGAGTCCAGAAAGGTGCAAGAGTATGATCTGAAAACATATTTAAATACTCAAATGACGTACCTTCCTGCACTGCTTGGAAAGGGTTGTTTCCATCTACAAACTCCACGGACACAGTGATCTTCTCTGTCTCCAGGATCTCGTTGTTGAGGTTGAGATCTGCCACCGCCATGCGGAACACCTCATCATCCTTTTTGGCAGACTCATCAAAAATGGCCCCTAAAACAAGAGGATTTGAGGAGATTTATCATATGGTTGACAACAGAACACAGAAATAGAAACGGGAAATGAACTTAAGCAGAATCTAAATTACTCCATCACACTTTTATCCAATTCCTGACCAAAGCAAATTCTCATGTGAGAGAAGCTCTCAAGCTCTCAAGCTCTCTATTTTAATTTTATTTTATGTTATTTATATTTGTTTAGAGTACATATATCATGTGTTGTAAACTAACAAACACAGCTAAGATGATAATGTAATGTAAATAAAAGGGTATATAAATATGAAAAAAAAAAACGGTTATCAAAATGCCTTAGAAGCAAAAAATGATAAATTACTATTTACATACTGAACAACAACAAAAAAGTTATAAAAGCCTAGCACAGCACAAACATCATCACTATATACAACATAAAATGAGTTCCAGACAGCAGTGCTGTGCCAAAAATCAATGCTTTATTATTATTACTCTGTCTGGCTTCATTCAGCAGTTTACTTTATTAATTCAATAAATGAATCCTAGATTAGGTCAAAGAATATACACCAGCTTTTAGGTAAAGAGATACTTGTAGATTGACAATTATTCAAGTTTCAGACAAAGTCTTAAAACATGTATATAAATAAACACACAATGACCTGTACATATTTGCACGTCAAGTAAAAGCGCAGGCAGAGTGGAAATGTTTCTCTAGGCAATTTCATCTATACTTGTTGGTCTCTACAGATCCAGCTGCAACGGAAAACAGTATTTTGGGGCCTCAGATTGAATCTTGTATATCTATGTACAAGGAAATTGAATCTTGTCGACCTGTATACATGAGAGCTACGTCAAAAAATTGTCAACCCTCAGCGGTACGTGGGAAGTAGGCTGAAGCAGAGTATTTTCACAGTACGTGGGGATAAATTGGTGCTCTTTCAATGTGAAAGATGTGTCAATGTGCCCATATTACATTAGAGTCTGTGGTCAGCTGTGAACAGGCCAAGCCAAGACACTACCTGCAGGACACTGTGAAGACTGTCAGGCCTTTAACAAGAAAAATCTCAGAAAACACTCACTTTGTCTCCAATCCTCTGCAAAACATCATAATGGGTCTTTTATCTGAGGACAGAATAGAGTTGCCATAGAAACATAAAGCCGCATATTTCATCTGTAGCAATGGGAAATGCTGTAGATGGGGGTATTATGCTCAAGTCCATGCGAATCTGCTTTGATTTGTTTTGCCAACTAATAAAACCATCTATATTTCAAAATTCAGTTAGGTTGGACAGAGAATCTGTTGTAACTGCAAAAACTACTTTCTTAATGAGTTAATTTGTAGTAATACTAAAACATCCTTAAAACTAGATACATTTATTTGACGAGAAAAACTGAATTGCATAAGATATTATGCAAATATTTTCTTCCTAAAAATCAACAGCAGTTCAGAGTATGAAAAGACAATGCAGAAAAGCAGAACGGAGTTAGAAAATGTAGTAAGTTTTATACTGAAAAAAAATGTTGCAGTTCAAAATACATTCTTTGAAAACAAGCCTTCAATACCTTTACTTGTTTCTCAAGTAATCTTACCTTGTTGTAAAGATGTTTACATTTTTTAATGGAAAACAAAACAAAAGTACTCATTAAGAAAATTGAACTCTGAGAACTCGCATGTCAAGAACAAGCACCTCGTTGTCACGTTTCATTATGTTTAAAAACAGAAAAGACAGACGGCTCAGGATGCTTGAAAATGAAAAATAAAAAATTAAATGATGAAAGGACACAGATGCTTGTTCAAATTGCGGCAAAGACTTCCTCAAGCACTTAGGTAGCGTGATTGAGAACAAAACTTAATTCCACAATAAAGTGCTCAAGAGCCTGTAGCAAGTCCTCATAAGCAACACTGGCCAGATTAATATCCTGCAGCCACTCTCAAGAGGAATAAAGCAACAGGAATCAAATTCTTGCCTGTCTTAATCAGTCCTACTCCCTATCCCGTGGGGGCTTCTCTTCTTCGGATGAGTGAGAGAGTGTAAGTGTGCGCAAGTATGAGAGGGTAGTTGCGATTTCTGATTTACAAGCTGCTGGATTGCGGCTCTAAACAGGCAGAGAGGCTACAGCTCTTGGGCAATTGAGTTGTGAGGCAAAAGACAACTTCATCAAATAAATCAAAGAGCAAAGAAATAGCACTCTGTCTGGCTCAAGCCGACACACCAAGGGCAACTGGACTCATATTGCCATAGAGTTCTGTATCACTATATAACAACATCAGGTCACGATAACATGGGTGGTCCTAACCATGTGGTCCAACTTTAACTATTTCCCAAGAGAAAAGACCTTCGAGAAAATCTGATAAAGCTACTTGGATTAAATCGGAATGGGAAGCAGCTTCAAGAAATGGCAGCTAATCAAAGAGCTATCTAAAATAAAAATATAAGAACACAAACTGATTAGCCAACAATTAGCAGTTTGCATCAAGTTGCCCCTGATGCAACTTCTTGCCACCAGAGCAGCTTATTTATACAGTTATCTACTAGTAACCAGTTTTGGTTTGATTGCATTAGTTTATTGTGAGATGAAAATAACAAACTCTTGTACCTTGTGTGATCAAATTAGCTTATTTTTTGCTAGTTGATGCTAACCACTACAGGTAAATAACTAGACGAATAACAAAGCTAAAATTATTTGCATTACAATTCAATGTGTTTATGAATACATAAAGAGCAGTACAGTAAATTAATCTTAAATTAAAATAATATGATACCAGAATGCAACACGAAGCAGCATAACAAACTGTTTTTTAAAATAACTGGAAGTGGCTGACAGCAGATGTCCTGCACATTCAAGTTTGAAATTGTTGTCCACTCTTACGTAAAAAAAAAAAAAAAAGGGGGATAGTATCTTTTTAAATTAACTGCATAACATGTTGGTTGTAAGAAAATCATATTATTAAATCATATTATGCTTTTGACCTTGCTGAATGAGTGCATCAGTCACACTTTATTTTAAGGTCCCATTCTTGCCATTAATAAACCATTAACTATGACTTTTGCCTCAATAAACTCCTAATTTGTTGCTTATTAATAGTTAGTAAGGTAGTTGTTGAGTTTAGGTATGGGTAGGATTCGGGATGTAGAATATGGTCATGCAGAATATGTACTAATAAACAGCCAATACATTAATAACAGGCATGCTAATAAGCAACTAGTTAATAGTGAGAATTGTTTCCTATACTAAAGTGTTACTTTTTTTCTCTACTGAATATATTCTATATATTGAGCTCTGAAGGTCATATACATTCATGGGATGGAAGGGTGAATTGCATAATAATTCAGTTAATTACAGATTTTTGCCTGGTGCTTTTGTTCTTATTTCTGTTAGCTTCATGTGAGAGGAAATGTGCTGAAAAATAATAATGAAATTTAAGGTTGTCAATTGGTATGGTAATGCTTATACGCAAATGGCATCTGCACACTTCAAGATTTTGACACATTAGTGTGTTAGTACTGCTGTATTGTTTTATTGCACACTTAAAAGTATGCACTTTCTCGTCCACATGTGGATATACTTTCGTAAATATCTAAATGCAAGCATCATTGCTATAAGCATATAAATAATTGTAGGCCGTGTATTTATCTGTGTGATTGACAGCAAAATAAAAACACTGCAGTGCTTTTAAAACTGCTTTCTGATGTGTATTTTTGGCTAGAGCTTAATAGTAAGTCCAAACGAAACCACAGAAAAAAGAAAATAGAAAAAAGAGGGTTTATGTGTCTCCAAATACTTGTCAAGACTTTCATATAGTCATCACATCCTCCCTCTCTTCATCATTTGACTAACGGGGGATTAGTTTAATTAGTTGAGATTTGCGTTAAGCATTCATAATTATCTCGAGAACACGTTCTTAATTTGCCCATGAAACAAATGTGTCATGGCTGTCGAAATCAGCGACATCTAGTCAGATGAGTTTCAGCCTTTGAAGTTGTCGTTGGTGGCCTCAGCGTAGCTGATTAAACTGGAATTATCTGGGCAAAGAAAGAGATCACAAATATCAGTGAACTGGAAATGATATACTGTATAATATATGCCCCCAACTGGCATGAGTGTGTGTCAAGTCTGCTGGGAACTACAAAGTACTAGAAACCATGGACCATGTGTGTTTTAGATGTGTTAAAGATGATGCAATTATTTCCATCATGTGTAAAAAAATAAGCTTTTTTATGCTTCCCTGTGTAGCAAATTAGCTCAAAAGAGAAATGTATATAAATAATTACAATGAATTGATTAATTACAATTATTTATATCAACTGCCCGTAGTAACTGTAGCAGAATTAAATTGCCGTCAACTAATCTGTTTGTCCAGCAAACATTCATTGTAATTTCATATCAAATCTAAGAAAGGATATTTTCTTGGCTGCAGAAAATAACTTTCTTACAGTACTAATGCATTAAAGCATGTAGCTAGATCGGATCGTAAAAGGGACATTATTCACAAGCGGTGGCAGAATCAGAGACTCATGTAATTTGTGCACAAGAGTTTTATTAACTAAACACTAACAAAAATTAGTCTATCAAACCAACAAACAAACAAACATACACTCACACGTACATACAAAAGGGAGTTGAAGTGGATTAATGGAACCATTAGAGAAACCAGGAAGTGCAGTTATGGAACATAAGTCAGCTAACCACACCTGAGTAGAAACCATCAGCGCCGTGCCAATACATTAATAACAGGCATGCTAATAAGCAACTAGTTAATAGTGAGAATTGGTCGCTATACTAAAGTGTTACCAGTGTATCCTGTAGTAAAACTAGTCTGGACATGCCACTGATCAAGTAATAGTAATTTATTGTTAAATTTACAGGACAATCAAAAGGCAAACATCTTTGAGATTCAACTGATGTAAAAAAAAAAAGAAATGATTATGAACATGGAACAATGCAGCAATAATTCTGTCACACTGATGACAATAACACACTGATCTTCTCAAACAATGTCAAATTCATTGGAGGAAGAGC